CAGATCACAGACATGTATCTCTGTTCAGCTTTGGTGCACATTACCAATCTCCACTCCCAGCAGTGTATGGGGGTCCCCAGTGCTCTAAATGGTTACTGACACTTTGTCTTTTTTTTTTTTTTCACTGCCTCCCTCGCCCTTCCTTTTTTACCAGGAGGCACGGATGCTCATTGGAGAGAGAGAGAAGCATCCCTCAGTGAGGCATGGTCATACTACAATGATTTTTCCTCCATTTCTTCATCCTATCAGGATTTGGGGGCACGCATGTGCACTTACCCAAGGCCAGGATTTGAACTGCAGTCAGCTATGTGGGGTTTGGTTCCTGATGTATTGTGCTCAGTGCTATGGGGCTGGTCCATAACCTTTTTTTTTAATTTTAGGTTTTCCAGTGAGTGGTATCTCATTTGGCTTTAATTTCCATTTTCTTGTTAACTAAAGATGTTCAGCATCTTTTAAATTTTTTTGACATTTGGTTATTCTCTTTTGTAAAGTAACCAACTCTTTTTGGTTCACTTTTCTTCTACATCATCTATCTTTTCCTTATTGATTAGTAGTGTTGTTTTTGGTGTGTTTTTCTGTTTTTGGTTTTTGGTGTGTGTGCGTGTGTGTGTGTGCGTGTGTGTGTGTGTGTGTGTGCGTGTGTGTATCGTGGGGCCAGGCAGCAGTACAGAGGTAACATGGTAACACAGCTGGACCCGTAACTGGACAGGAACTTGAGTTTCTGTCCCAGGCCCTCCATGAGTATGCTGGGTGTGGTAGAGACCTGCTGGGGATGATTTTCTCTCTGTCTCTTACAGAATAAATAAATAATCATTTTTAAAAAGATAGTCTAGGGCCAGCAGGTGGTGTAATGGTTAAGACACTGGATTCTCACATGGTCGACCACAGTTTGAGTCCCTGTTCTGGTGGCTTGAAAATCACTCTGGGCATATATATGTGTGTGCCCAAAATCCTGAGAAGAGAATGGAGGAGAAGGGATGGCATGGCCTTCCCCTCCTGGGGGTTGATTTCTTTCTTTTTTTTTTTTTTTTGAGAGGTTTTCGCTATAGGGCATGTGCGCTCGCCAGACAGACAGAGAGAGACATAGAGGCAGAAAGCAAGAAATCACCCCCTAGGGGGGATGGTCACACCACAATCTCTTCTCCTCCATTCTCCTCTCGGGATCTTGGGCACGCACGCACATGCGCCCGGCGTGAGTTTTAAGCCACCAGGTCCGTGACGCGAACCGTGGTTGACTACCTGGGAGTCCAGCGACATAGTCATTACGCTAACTGCTGGTTCCCCAGGGGCTAGGTTTCTCATGTCCCCTCTTTTTTGTCTCTCTCTGGCAAGTGCACGCACCCTATGACAAAAACCTTTAAAAATTTTCTAAAGAAAGATATTCTGAATACAAATCCTTGTCAAAATTTTTTTACAAGGGGACTTCAAAAACTTTGTGGGAAAATGGAATTAAAATAAGAGTTTATTTTGGTGCAAAAGAATTTTTTTTTAAATCCATGCAAAGTTTTTTTTTTTATAAAATACTTTTTCCATCAACTTTTTAAAAATGTTTATTTATTGGGTTTTGTCGCTGGACTCCCACAGGGCTGACTAGTTAGAGTCCTGGACCTGATGGCTTGAAACTCATGCCGGGTACATGTGCATGCAACACGAGATCCCGGGAGGAGAATGGAGGAGAAGGAGTTGCTGCATGGCTATCCCCCTGGGGGGTGATTTCTCACTTTCCCTCTCACTATCTCTGTCTCTCTGTCTCTGTCTGTCTCTCTCTCTCTCTCCAGTGAGCACACAAGCCCTAAGGCAAAAATCTCTAAAAAAAAAGTTTATTCCTTCCATGAGTTAGAGAAAGAAAGCACCCTCGATAAGGTCTTGATGCTATGACCCACCCCCAGCCTCAGCCAGCTTCGGATCATGGCCACACGTGCACCCTGAGTATTTAGGGAGGTCTCCAGATATGAACTTGGAACTTTCTCAAGCGGGTCATCCACACAGAGCATTGTGTTACTGCTGTGCCTCCATCTGGCCCCTTCAAAGGACTTTTCGAAAATCCCTTGAATTAAAAGTAGTTTTTCTTACTCTTTACTGTCTTGAAGTGAGTTTTCTGGTGATCAGAGGTTCTTTATCTTATCACAGTGCAATATGTTAAAATTGTCCCTTATGATTAGCATATATTATGTCATATTTGAGAAATCTTTGCCTAACTCAATGTCATGAAAATATTTTCATTTAGGAGTTTTATTTTATATCTGGTTTTGTTTTTTTTTAATTTTACTGACCTAGCCTTGATGGCACAGGCAGTAGTATACTGATCTGCAGTGCTGGAAGCCACATGGCTGAACACGGTTTCAGATCCCTGGTCAGTCATCCTGAAACACACCAGGTGTGCATGCCCAAGATCCTGACTAGCTACAAAGCTGAGGGAAGGGGACTGCAGTGTGCTGAGAGCCTACTGAGGATGTTTATCTCTCTACCTTTTGCACATACACACGTACTTTTTTTGCATTCTCTCATGAAATAAAATAAATTTTGAAAGAATAAGAGCTTTAATTTTACCTTTATATTTAGATGCAAAGTTCATCTGGAATATATTTTTGCATTTGGTGTAAGGGAGGGGTCAAGGTGCACATTTCCACTGGGCTTATTTTAGACTCACTTATTTAAAAAAACAATTCTTTCTTGTGCTACAGTAGGCAATAATATTTTACATGTTTTCCAGTTTAACAGATGAAAAGTGGTACTTCATTGTTTAATTTTAAGTTTTTTATTATTTGGGCAGTTTGACAGGATAGGCTATGCTACTATGATATAAATAGAGCACCACATTTCAGAGGCTTAAAACAGCATAGGTTTATTTTTCTACTTGCAAAATCTAGTATCAGTGGGACAACTTATAGGACAGCTGCTTTTCCTGCAGTAACTGGCAGATCTGGGCTACTTTTATCTTATGATTTCATATCATTATGTGATCTCTATAATCCACAATGACGAGTCACACACTAACTTTTAAAAAAGATATTTATGTACTTATTTATTTATTTTTAATTTAATTTTTTTAGTTTTTTGCTATAGGATACATGTGCTCACAAGAGAGAGAGAAAGTGAGAGGGCCCAGCAGTTAGAGTAATGGCTATGTTGCTGAACTCCCATGTGGTCGACCACGGTTCAAGTCCCGGACCCAGTGACTTAAACTCACACTGGGCACATGTGTGTGCATACCCAAGATCCCAAGAGGAGAATGAAGGAGAAGGGATTGCGGCATGGCCATCCTCACTGGGGGGTGATTTCTTGCTTTCTGTCTCTCTCTCTTTCTCTCTGTCTTTCTGGTGAGTGCACACGTCCTATAGCAAAAACCTCTCAAAAAAAAAAAAAGAAAAGAAAGAAAGAAAGAAAAGAAAGAAAGAAAGAAAGAGAGAGAAATCACCCCCGGAGGATTGACTACACCACAATCTCTTCTCCTCCCTTCTCCTCTCAGGATCTTGGGCATGTACACACATATGCCCACCATGCTTTTCAAGTCACTGGGTCCAGAGTTCGAACCACGCAGTCAGCCATGTGAGATCAAGAACCTTAACCTCCACACTACCTGCTGGCCTCACACGCTGACTCTTAAGAACTTAGCCTGGAAGGGACACATCAGACTTTCGCTCTTGTGATATGGCCTTATCTCAAAGAAATCTATACTTTTCCCAAGTGCCCAATAAGGACAGAAAAACTGGATTCAGAGACATAGTGGTTTCACCACACTCCCACAATTAACTAATTCTATTTTCCATTTCATGAGTTGTTTGTGTTTATCTTTTTTGTCCACTAATGTTTATATTAAATCAAAGTAACCTTTAAGATTTCTTGCTTTGAATCCTATTTTAATAGAAATGGTATCTTTAATTCATTGCAAAAAATCCCTACATTTTCACATCTTTTTCTTCATAGTCTTTTGTGTTAGTTTATTTAGATATATTTTTTATAAGCAGCAAAGTATTGGATTTTAATTTTTAACACAAAATGAGAGGAATTTTTTTCTATTAATAGGAAAGCTAAATTTAAGAAGTAAACTTATCATGCTTAGCCTCGCTATTGCCATGTTTTGGTGCCTTTGTTTTCACATGTGCATGCTGTTTATTTTTGGTTTTGTCATTTGCTCTGCAGACTTGGTTTTGTTTGCTCTTCCCTTGTACTATGATTTTTGAAGGTAGATAGTTCTCTGATTCTTCTACTGGGTTCCTGAGAGTTTTCCACGATGCTTTTTCTTTCTTTCCTTTTCTTTTCTTTTTTTTCAATCATAGAGAGCACATATACACACAAGAGGAGAGAAGTGCCCTTTACAGAGTCGTCATGCTCTGGTCCTCTTTCCCCAACCCTCTAGCTCCTCTGGATCCAAAGAATCCTGGGCACCTGCATGTATGTGTACCCTAAGCCAACCTGGCGATTTGAACCCATGATTGGCCATATGGCCTTCAGCCTTGCATTACCACCGTGCAACAGTGGTTGAGCCCGCAAACACTTGTAAAACCTACCCCTGTACCAATTTGAAAAACCAAAGAATAACTTTTGACTGTTGAAGAGGAGGCATCAAACATTTTTTCCTTCGCTTACCCCCGTTAATCCTTTTTGCTGATTAACGTTAATTTAACCTGGGGTAGTAAACCTACACGTTTGAAAAAAAATACAGCTTTTCTTCCTAAAGCAATAACCATTTCTATAAAACATTTGGATAAAGACCAGCAACAAACATCTGCCAGCATTTTACCAAGACGACCACTCTTGGTATGTGACATATTTCCTTTTGACCTCTTTATTATACATGATTTATAAGGGTAAGATCATATTGTATACATAGTTTTTATTTTCTGAAATGTTCTTCTATGCAAACCAGATGGTTTTGGTCATCATAAAATCTTCACAAAGATCTCAATCAATGGCTTTATCACATTCTAGAAGGTAGATAAACTATAGTTTAGTACCATATGATTGAGAATTTAATTATTTTTCATTGTTTTGGTGTCATGGATAATGTTCAACAGAACCTTCATGGTGACATTTGTCTCCTTGACCCATACTTGACCACCAGCAATTGTTTACGACACGGCCCAGAACAACTCCCAAAGCTGACTCAGACTGTAGTGACACATCATCGGCGCAGTCACACTGAATTCACAGGAGATCAATTGAAAATCCCCATCAACACCTTCAACCAGAAGCCTTACCCTGATTATGAGACCAAAAGAGAACTTGCCGAAGAAGTCAACACTGAAGAGTCAAGAATTCAGATTTGGTTTCAGAATCAAAGAGCCAGGCATCTACTCAAGAAGAAATCAGACCTGGAGAAGGCTTTAGAATCAAGTGAAGTCCCTGGGCAACACCACCCTGCGCAGCAGATTCGAGGTACAGAAGACAGATGGCATCATACCAGCTGTAGCTTCTCTCCATTACAAACGCTCAACAAGGCTTTTCTGAACAACCCTTACCCTGGGATTGATTCCAGAGAACAACTTGCCAAGGAAATTGAGGTTCCAGAGTCAAGAGTTCAAATTTGGTTTCAGAATCGAAGATCTAGATTACATGCCCAGAAAAAAAGGGAACCTGAGTCCTTAGAACAAAATGAGAGACAAGATCTCTGAGAGTTCACGGTAACCAGCCTGTTGTTCCCAGTTTGGATCACAAGAAGGGCCTCTTGGATGTCAAATGCTTTTTCACAGTGGAGTCGACTGCTCCTCTTGGGAGGTGGAGGCCATTTCCATTCAACTGCCTTAGCAGGCTCCATCGAATCAGGAAATTGGTGCAACCATCACCACCATCCACCCAAGAACCCTTTTTCATCTTGCAAAATTGAAACTCTGTATCCAGCAACCATTACCTTCTCATTTATCCTTTCCCACAGCTGGAAACCACCATTCCAGTACTATCCTGACGACCTGATTACTGTAGGCATCCCATATAAGGAGACTCATACACCACCCTGCAGAGCAGATTCGAAGTACAGAAGACAGGCTCATCTCACTCAGCACAATGTCTTAAGGTTCATCAATAGCACGTGTCAGACTTTCCTTTCTTCTTGAGGCTGAATAATAATAATCCATTATATGTGAAAAGGTTAAAAGTCTCACAAAAGTTGTAAGTTACTGGAAGGGGTTAACTCAGTGCCTCTGTGTCTCCAGGTTGACTCAGTTTTTCTCGGGGAGATGCATTAAACTCCCAGCTGTTTCAGACATTCTTTCTCTTTCTGCCCCTTTCTCCCCACGCTTGACCTCACCGCAGATGGCTGATTTGTCCTTCTGAGTTTCCACCTTCAGATACTGTTTTTATAGTGACAATATTGTTTTTATAGCTCTATTCACACTTTCATCTCAGCATCAATTCGTCTCCCATTATTAGTGTTTATGTTAGCTTATGTCTATAGCTAATGTCTGTTTCAGGTATGTCCACCAACTCTTGCCAACCCCTCACTTTCACATTCCGAGTTCTTTTTGATGCAGTGATGTGTGATTTTATAATTTATCAAATTATATCAAATTCTTGGGAGAATGTTACAATATGTTTTCTTGTTGATTACCAATAAAATCAGTCCTTTCTTTGACTTAATTAGAAGGTTTCTCATCTGTGTTTTGAGTAGTAGATGACTTAGTTTCATGGAGGAAAATTACACCGCGTTACTTGTGTCCCTGCCCCCTTTCAACCCATCCCATTTTGGTCCATAGACCAAGGAAAAACCTATCAGAAATTAAAAGACACAATTACAGGCATTTCAAAGGGTGTTGAGGCCTCTAAACGATAGGGAAAAAAAAAAAAAGAGAGAAAACAAATCAAAGACTGTATTCAAAGCTCAAGAGTATATATAACTTGGGCCAGCAGGTGGTGTGGTGGTCTCCCACCTGGCTGACTGTGGTTTGAGTCCCAGACCTGGCAGCTTGCTTTCTTGCTTTCTTTTTCTCTCTCTCTCTCCCTCACTCTCTCTCTCTCTCTCTCCCTCTGGTGAGTGCACATGCCCTACAGCAAATTTTGAAAATAATAAATAAATAAATCTTTAAAAAGAGAAAGAGCATATAAAACTTAAAGTATAATAAAAAATAGTCTTAACTTGGCATGTGGTATGGATCCAGGCTGAGAGGTTACACGTGGCAGTCTGCTTTATCCAGGGAAAGTGCTCACAAGTATTTCCGAACAAATGTTTATCGGCTGTAACCATTTCCAAATAAATTTCTTTACTAAATATCCAAAGTGAAAATAACAGATACATACTTCTTTGAGGATTTTCTCCTAGTGGTAGTTTCCGGAATTGCTTTGTATATTTATTATTTTTAAGACATTGGTTTTTTTCTCTCTTTACGGAAACTACCATTCATTTTTCTTCACAGTAACAACATTTTTAAAAATGCTTCTTTCTATTTTCTCATTAAACAGCTATGACAGGGACCAGCAGATGGCATAATGGTTACATTGTTGGACTCCCACGTCGTGGTTCAAGTCCCAGACTTGATGACTTACAACTCATGCAGACATGTGTGCGTGTTGCCCCAAATCCCAAGAGGAGAATGGAGGAGAAGGGATTACAGTATGGCCATCCCCCGGGGGAGGTGTGATTTCTTGGTTTTTATCAATCCAGGGAGCACACATGCCTTATAGCAAAAATCTCTCAATAAATAAATAAAAACAACTATGACAATGAGTTTATTTTTCCCTGTATGAATGTGAGATACTTGAACTCACAATGCCAAATGATCTTTTTTCAAATAGATTTTCTGTTTTATTTTAAGTGTATGGTCTGATGACTTTTCATATACTGAACACATACTTCTTTTTTTTTGAAGGGGAGGAGGTTTTTGCTATAGGGCGTGTGTGCTCACCAGAAAGACAGAGAGAGACAGATAGAAAGCGAGAAATCACCCCGCGGGGGGATGGCCACGCCACAATCCCTTCTCCTCCATTCTCCTCTCAGGATATTGGGCACGCACACACACATGCCCGGCATGAGTTTAAGCCACAGGTACGGGACTTGCACCATGGTCGACTACATGGGAGTCCAGCGACATAGCCATTACGCTAACTGCTGGTACCCTGAATACATACTTTTAACTAACACCTGAAACAAGGAACAAAATATCACTTCAAGTTTGAAGCTCCCTCTTACTTCATGGTGACTTTTTTTTTTCGAGTTTATTTCATGCAAGTGAGAATCAGAGAAAGATATATATAGAAACAAGCACTCTCAACAGCATCTCATGTTATTTCTCTGCACCATCCCAGCCAGCCATTGTTGCTTACAGATGCACCTGCCTGGTACGTACAGGGCAACTGGGGACCCAAACCCGCGATCTTCTATGTTATTCAGCACCACTTGTGCAGCACAATATTTCAGCTGCAGGCCCTTGGCTGCTTTTCTGGAGGGAAAAGGAAAAAGAAATTCTTATCAAAATTTGATATTCCTGGGGCCAGCAGGTGGTGTGGTGGTTGAGGCTCTGGACTCCCACATGGCTGACCATGGTCTAAGTCCCAGACCTGGTGGCTTGAAACTCACACCAGGCACATGTGTGTGCATGCCTACAATCCCAAGAAGAAAATGGAGGAGAAGGGATTGCAGCATGGCCATTCCTTTCAGGGGATGATTTCTGACTTTCTCTCTCTTGGTCTCTCTGTCTCTCTGGTGAGTTCATACACACAAAAAATCTCTCAAAAAAATATTGGCATTCCTCAGGACCAGCAGATAGAGTAATGGCTACGCCACTGGACTCTCATGTAGACAACTGCAGTTCAAGTCCCAGACCTGGTGGCTTAAACTCATGCTGAGCGCATGTGTGTACGTTCCCAAGATCCCAAGAGGAGAATGTAGGAGAGGGATTGTGGCATGGCCATCCCCCCCGGGGGGTGATTTCTCATTTTCTTTCTCTCTGTCTTTCCAGCAAATGCACAGCGCATTCCCATATTGTTTCAAAGTTTCTAAATATGAGTTTACATATATCTGTGCTTATTTTTGTCATATATTTAATCAAGGAAGATTTAGCATTTATTTTTTATTTGTTGGGAAATCATTAACTTCAATAGTCTTTATGGAGTTCGAAAGATATTGACCAAAATCAATGAAGATTATATTATTTTTTTTGTGAAGAGAAACATCAATTTCTAGAGCCAGCCAGGTGGTGTGGTGGTTAAGGTGTCTGGATTCCACATGGCCAACTACATGGTTCGAGTCGGGACCCACTAGCTTAAAAAACACTCTGGGTGTGCATGCATGCGTGCCCAAGATTCCAAAAGGAGAATGGAGGAAAATAGTCCACAGTGTGGTGATCCCCCTGTGGGACACTTTCCCACTGTTCCTCTCACTCTGTCTCTCTCCAACAAGAGCAGCTCCCTATAGCACATTTTTAAAAAAAGAAAAAGAAACATCAATTTCTTTGTCTCCTCAAAATTCGCACTGCAGAAACAAAGTCGAGGGCAAGATTTTGGGGATTTTGTTTTTTCCTCTAATGTGATCAATTTATTTTAGTTTAATCAGCAAAATTTAGCACGAGTGAAGTACACTAGGTTTCAATTGGTTTTATGTGTTTTCTTGATTACTTTTCTAAGCAGCCTGCTTTGTTGAGAGGCACAGTGTTGATTTAAAATCTGCTATATGAGCACTGTTTGCTTGCTGTACTTTGTTTTGATAAACATTTCGTAATACTCATGCCCTTGGAAGATAGCTTCTAGTGCACTTTGGGGGGAGGGGATAGAGTTCTGAAGTTGGTTATGATTTTTTTTTTAAGTTTTTGCTATAGAACATGTGTGCTCACCAGACAGAGAAAGAGAGAGGGGAAGAGAAAATGCACCAGGCATGATTTTTTAAGCCACTGGGCCCAGGGTTTGAACTGCAAAGTCATCCATGTGGGATCTAGTGCCTTAATCTCTATGCCACCTGCTGACTTCATTGCCTTTTATTCTTTTTTTTTCAGATACAGTTTTTTTTTTTTTTTTGAGAGGGTTTTGCTATAGGACGTGTGCACTCACCAGACAGACAGAGAGAGACAGAAAGCGAGAAATCACCCCCCAGGGGGGATGGCCACGCCGCAATCCCTTCTCCTCCATTCTCCTCTCGGGATCTTGGGCATGCACACACATGTGCCCGGCGTGAGTTTTAAGTCACCCAGACCGGGACGCGAACCGTGGTCGACTATATGGGAGTCCAGTGACATAGCCATTACGCTAACTGCTGGTCCCCAGATACAGATTTTTTTACTATAGGGTTTGTGCATTTGCTGGAGCAACAAAGAGAGACAGAAAGTGGGAAATCACCCCCCAGGGGGTTGGCCATGCCACAATCCCTTCTCCTCCATTCTCCTTTTGGGATTTTGGGCATGCATACACACACTCCCAGCGTGAGTTTTAAACTACCAGGTCCAGGATTCGAACCACAGTTGACTACATGGGAGTCTGGTATAGTAACCTTTATACCATATGCTGGTCCCCCTCATTGCAGTTTTTTAACCTCAAGTGAAATAAATCTGTTTTGAGAATCTAGTCGCTCCTGATTTTTCTTTTTTAAAAATAAACCTGAGCAGGGCCAGCAGGTGGTGTAGCGGTTACAGTGCTGGATTCCCATATGGCTAACTGTTGTTCGAGTACCAGACCTGATAGTTTGGAACTCATG